AGCTYTGTTGAAAGTGCATACGTACTAAAGCAAAACTGGGCAACTGGTTGACAATAGATAGAATCTTCAAATAATCTGATTGAAACCAATATGTATATGGTTTGCCTGCATAAGCTGTACTCATAGTCTATTAACTATSGCGTAGTTATTAATTGTCTTGTAATCACATGATCGTCTCGTGAATATTTCGTAATCAACTTTAACATTTTCAACTTTTGTGGCAACATTGCTGCAAAACAAGTGGCAAAGCGATGTTGCGCTTTTAACTACTGGCGAACAAACTTTTTTGCAGCAAAATTCTTTGTTGCAAGTTGAAAAAGTAAGAAAGAAAAAGAAAATAAAGAAAAAGAAAAAAAGGAAGAAAGTAGAAGATGGTTCTACTGATGTTTGTATTACTTTAACAATCCAACTTGTCTCGTAGCAAAGTAACATTGTGCTGACTCCATTGGCCAATCAGAAATAAGGATTTACTCTGAACCTGCAACAAATTATTTTGATGCGAGACAAGTTGGTTCGGCAGTAGTAATAAAACGCAACATCAATTTCCAACTTGCATGCTTTGCAACAATGTTGCAGACAAGTCGGATGATTTTGCTGCTTGTATTAACATATCTTTAGTTATTATTATATTGATATACATGTATAACGCCCGCTCTGATTGGCTGATGACCGTGTTTATATCAGAGGACAGAGACACGGCTTACCAGCAAAATTTTCTTTTCGCTCGAAAAATTTTATAAAAGAAATATAAAATGGCACGCGCACGTCTCTGTCCTCTGATATAAACATGATGGGAGTTGAAAAACACTTGAAAAGCAAGAGAAACACTTGCTACGCTCGTGTTCCTAAGCTTGCTTCTCTCGTGTTTTTCGAACTCCCACTGTGTTTATATCAGAGGATAGAGACATGCGTGCCGATTTATATTTCTTAATTTTTGTCTTCCCAGATTTGGAAAATGACTATAATATTGCAAATTCAATTATTATTTTAAATGGATCATATTACATTAAAAGATATTGGATTTCTTTAATAAGTCTTTTATTTTTTGTTTGATCCTAATATATTTTTTTGTTTCCTGTCACTGAGCATCTCCCATGGATGTGTCGGGCAAATGGAAAAATAAAAAAAAC